AATTGAGAGGAGCTTGTGTGAGTAAAGTTTGTCTGGCAGCGAGGCCCAGACCCAGGCCCTGTCACAGGTTCCCCTTCCTCTCTGATGTCGTTGAGGTCGCAGTCTGAGTGTCTCACTCTGTTTTCTCCTCCTATGGTGGTTTTACACAGATTGGTGATGTAATGGTTAGCATATGAAGGCCACACACAAACACACTCTCGCACACGGGACGCACACACAAACACGGATTCTCATGCACATAATGCAGACTCCGCACCACATACCCATAATTACACATGTATACTGAATGCACACCCTTTTACACAAACCCTGGATTCCCCCTTTTCCGACAAGCATGCACTGCCATGCACTCGTTCTCACACGCACCAAAAAAAAAAGTACAAACAAAAGTAGTTAATTCAATTTATTTTGCATGCTGTGCACAGACGCCTCTGTCGAGGGGCAGCCCCTCTGTGTCAGAGTGTGTGAGCAGCCAAGCGCTGGTGGATGGCCCAACATCAAGAACGGGTGCTTCAGAACCACCCAGGAGACCCTCATCATGGGGGGAACGAGGGAGAGTGACTAACTTCACTCTTTCTTTTCTTCTCTCCCCAGCTGTGTCTTCAAACGCAGCTTTGATGTGGGAAATTAAAAAGAGTGAGTGTGTCAATATCTCCCTACGTCCAACCGCACTCATCTACTTCCTCCACTTCTCCTTCTCCTTTCCCAGCTTTTTTTCTCTCTGAACTGTTGACTTGAGAAAACAGAGTGCGACCGTTTTTTTTTTCTGCCACAACAACTCCGCCACCCACTCGTTGCCACTAGGCCCTAGTCCTTCGGAGGGTGTTTGTTTGTCTGTGTAGGCCCGTCGCTGCACTGGCAACCCTGTGTGTGTATGTGCATGAGTGTGTGATTGTGTGCACACAAAGCCCACCTCTAATTATTTTCTAACCACACCATGAGTGTATGTCTGTGAATGAGGGTCTCCTAATCTTACACCCAGACTCAAAAATGCTTTTATTTTTTTCCCCTCATTTTTCTGCTTACTCTGCATGTGTATGTGACTTTTCTTTGATATACTGTACAGTTTGTGTACAGTATGGTATTCTAACTGTCCCGTTGTGTTGGCTGGCGACTCATTTTTGCCATTTTTGCTTTCCTGCACCTGACTGAGTGTTTCCAGGCTCGTCAGCTGTGTGACACAAAGAAACAAACATGTGGTCAGAGATGTATCTGTGTGTATCAAGAAAATCTTTTTACGTATTCTCAAGGAAGTGAACACATAATCATGCCCTTTAAAACACCATGTTTGTTTTATTTTTTCTGTTTCTCTCATGCTTTAATTTGTTACTTCTCAGGCAACTTTGGAAAAACCCATGCAAAATTTTGGTGTTGACAAAACTTAAAATATTTGGCAAAATAGTTTGTTCTCTTACACGTCAAGTGGAAAATATAAGTTGGACTTAACAAGACTGAACAAGCATTTAGATATAACTCATGTTTACACAATCACAATTTAGTTTTAATTTTTGATTTTTTGATTTTTGAACATTTTAATGTGAAATGTTTAACTTTTTTTGATGATGTCACACTTTTACTTGTCTAAACCTTCCAAGATTTTGGCAAACAAGCTCTTTTTTTATTTAGTTTTTACACTTCTTATACAGTCTATGCATCAAAACACATGACTTTTTGTCTCTCACTGCTGTAGGACTTATGGTTTTCACTCAAATCCCTCCAGAGAGCAGAGAATGAACAGCCAAACCATCATTGACATCCACTGTGTTTACGCGAAATATTTTCTCTTCAAAAGACGAAGCGAAGGCCCTTCTTAAATTGTCCCATCTCCTACATAAACTGTAGGAACATAAAAGATAAATGTGTGACCTCCAGACACTTTTACCGCTTATGGTTTAGGGTTTTTGTCAAGATTTTCTTACACTTTTATTTAAACATCAAAATATTTGATTGTTGTATTAAAAAGCAAACCACAAACTTTTTTCTGAATGAAGTTTGTTAAAAAATAGAAAAGCTGACATTGAGCTGGTAAGCAATATACCATTAACCTTAGATAAATGTCAAAAGCAGCTAAATAAGTTAAAAAAGTAGCAAAAGTTTAGCTACAATGTAAAAGAATCAAAATGTTTGCTAGAAACATTTACAAGTTAGCTTAAAGCTAAAAGCAACAAAAGGTATGATAAACGCTTGAAGCAGCAGTATGGTAGCTAAATGCTAAAATATCAAAAAGTGATTTAAAAGTATCAATAGGCTAACTAGAAGCTAAAATGCTAGCAAAAACTAAAAATGCCAAAAGACTAGGCAAATACTAAAAGTATCAAAAGACTACCTAAAATCCAAATGTAGGACAAGACAGACTAAAAGGTAAACGTATCAAAAAAGTATCTAAAAGCTAAACATAGCCGAATGATAGTTAAAAACCATCAAAAGGTTACGTAAAATTAATAAATGTGCTCTTGTTTGTAGAAGTTTTTTTATAAGCACCATAGTGTGTCACCTTTTGTTGATATAATATGATGTTTTTTTCCTCGTCTAACCTTCTGTTGTATTTCGTTTTTCTTTTTAAAAGGTAGTGCGACCCCTGCTGGTTACTGCATGACCTGATCACCTGATCCCACATGTTTTTGTCATGTGTGTCTTCTTGAATGGGTGTTCTTAAATGTAATTTCATTGTGCTCCGTACAATGAAAATAAAGGCATCAATCAATCAATCAATCAATCAATCAATCAATCAATCAATCAATCAATCAATCAATCAATCAATCAATCAATCAATCAATCAGTCAAATTTGTCAAAGATCTAACTAGGTCTAGCTAAAAGCTAAAAGCAGAAAAGACTATCCACCCATTATCTATACCCACAGCTTCCTTTCAGGGTCACGGGGGTCACTGGTGCCCATATCCAACAGTCACAGTGCGAGGGGCGGGGTACACCCTGGACAGGTCGCAAGTCCATCATATGGCATAAAAACAGAAAAGGCTAGCTAAAAGTAGCAAAAGGACAGCTAAAAGCTAAAACTAAAAACATTTTAAGACAAAAATAAAGCAAGTTGAAGCAGAAGTCGAATAGATACCATCTCTTGAGTAAGCTGAATGTTTCGATGAACAGCTACTACGATGGCACAAAGTCTACAGAAGAAGACTGCGAAAAATGTACAAGAAAATAAAAACAGGAAATCAGTATAAATGCTGAATCAGCTTGTTTTGCACTATTTTTTCCAAAATGCTCTAAATTTTTATGTTAGTGGATCTGCAGTATGTTTGGAGGGACCCGGCGCTTTCTGTGTATGAGTGTTTCTATGCAACACATTCAGAGGCCCCTTCTGGCCTGGACAACACCTCTCTCCTGCTGCTCCCATCCATCTCTCACTCTTTCCTTCATCCCGAGAAGGGAAAGAAGGAGCAAAGAAAAAAGGGAGAGAAGGAGGTGGGCAGTGGAAATAGCAAGCTGCTGTCTCAGGAGGTGTTCTGAAAAAAAGGGTGAGAAGAGAGAGGAGAGAGAGAAAGGTGTTTGCAGCAGAAGTTTCAATTTAGCTTTCATACAGCTTAAGCACACGAGTCATGGAGCAGGTATGATAAATATGAAAACAAAAGAGTTTTTCTGCAGTTATAGGGAAGAGGTGGTGGGTAGATTTGGAGATGAAGAGTTTTTTTTTTTTTAAAGCCGATGGGGATGATATAGGTGGAGGAAGTGGAGACCGGGACAGTATGAGAGAAAGTGATAGAGAAAAACAAAAACAAACAAACAAAAACAATGGAACCTTTTTTTTGTTTCGGAGGCTGCAAGCAGGGGAGGAACGAGGCAGCAGCGAGAGAGAGAGAGAGAGAGAGAGAGAGAGAGAGAGAGAGAGAGAGAGAGAGAGAGAGAGAGAGNGAGAGAGAGAGAGAGAGAGAGAGAGAGAGAGAGAGAGAGAGAGAGAGAGGAGGGATTTGTTTTTATGAATGAAGTGAGTCACGCTGATGTGTCATAGGCCTAGATGTCTTTATAAAGGAAGTTTTAAAACAAGCCCAAACACTTCGCCGCGTGCAAAAATTGGACTTACACCACTCGCATCCCTCTCTCTGTCTCTGTCTGTCTTTTCTCCTTTTTTTTTTTTTAAAGAAAATTTTCAGGAAAAAAAAATCCTACAGGGGCTGCTGCTCTGAAACTTTCCTCGAAGACTCAAACTTTTATTTTATTTATTTATTTATTTATTGACCTGTCTCTCTGTGTGTGTGTCAGTGCGCGCGCCGCTCATCCATCTCTGTGCGCACATCCATCCACACATCCATCCTGACAACTTTCCTCCTCTGAAGAAAAACGGAGCACGTGACAAGTGCCGGACTTCAACTTATTTATTCATTTGTATTTATTTATTTTTTGTCAATTTTTTTTTTGTCAGCTCCCTCTCTATCTTGGATCAATATGAAATGTAAGTGTTTGTTTACTGTTTGTGTAAACCTGCTTTTTTTTAAAGTATGATAAATTTGGGGAGTTGTTATTGCCTGACAGATGAAATGGAGCGCTTTATTCTTGAAAAGTGGTGTTGGTGTTGGTGTTGGTGGTGGGGGGGTGGGGGTGGGGTAAAGATACCCCAGGACAGCTCAGATGCTCCTGCGGTGTGATTCTTGTGGCTCACCTGTAATTATCATCATTTCCCTCCTGCTTTAGACTCCAGCCTGCCTTGTATTTGAACTTGAAAGAAAAAAAAAGAATGAATGAGCTTACTGTTCGGCTTGGCTGGGTCTTTCTAATTTATATATCCCACCAAGCTTCACAGAGCTATCGGGTTGCAGGTGTGACAATCAGCAGCATTCATTCAAAGACGTGATGGGCGATATTCAGATGTTTCTTCTTCGTGTGTTTTTTTTTTCTTTAATGATTTAATGATCAGCCTGTGACAACAAGCCTCTTCACCGTGGAGTCCTGGGCCAAGTCTTGAAGCTGTTGTTTATGTTACGGTGCATTATCTGACAGCCATGGCCTCGGGCTTATTATCATGACAGCGCGTCTCCTCTAATTGCTTCCGTTTTTCTGTCTTTTTATTTATTTATATATTTTAGTGCTGCTCGACTCCTCCTCGTCGCTCCTCTTCTCGCTGCTATTGGCCCAGCTGCCCGTCTTCACGTCGGCCTCTCCGGTGCGCCGCTCCAGCGACCTGGACAAGCTGTCCAATCAGACCAAGAACCTCATGAAGCTCACCCAGGAGCTGCTGGTGAGTCACCAAGCACCGCAGCACTCACCGGAGAGCAGGCGTGTCGCCCGCGGCCGCTCAGCTCCGATGGGTTTGTGTGTTTTTGTCCAGGCTTTTGTCAAAGTGCTCAAAATAGCGATATGCGCAAATCTCGTGTCTAATCGCGAGATCTCGGTAAGGGTTACTCTCAGCTACTACCACATCACATTTCACCTCAAAAGTTGAGTTAAATTAATAAAATTAATCAATTTTTTTGTCAAGTCAATTAGCTGTGGCAGCAATCTTGAATTTGGTTGACTTTCAGATATAGATAGATCACAAAATTTTACTAAAATCAATCCAGTGGTTTGTGAGATATTTTGCTAACAGATAAACAGGCTCCATTAGTGCTCAGAATACAAGTTAGAGATGACTCTCAGCTACTAAACGTCAACTCAGTATTTGTAAAACAGGCGGAGATGTAGTCATTTTTGTGTTTGACGAGGTTGGTTAGCTGCAGGGGTCATCTGAAAATTAATGAGTCATATATACACAGATTACTTTCTGAGAGTTTTATTAAAGCTTGTCCAACTCGACAGACAAACAAACACACAGGTTAAAACAGCCTGCCCTTTGCCTGTTGTTGGCCATCGATTGAGCTCAGTGTATCTGAACTGAACAATGAGAAAAGGGTGAAGGCGGTATAGCCACAGATTGATCTGTGACTAAATGGATTTTGAGGCTAATGTTAGGTATCCTTGCATCACAGAGCTGAGCTGTGGAAACACTGTTTGTCAGGTTTACCGGGAGCGTCTGTAAACTTTAAGCTGCTTTTCGTTAATCACAGACCGGCTGTGGATCATTTGACTGGGTGATCTCACTTTTAATCCACGCTGAAATCTACAAGCGAGAGGAGGTCTGACTCAGCAGCACTTGTTGCCTGATCACCTCACTTTAAAGCCATTAAATAAGAATTAACAAAGCTGTAATAGGGGAGCCCAAATGAAAACGTTTTCCACTAATTTAAGGACAGAACATACCCATCCACACAGAAACATGTTCAAACTGATTCAGTTATTTTTTCTTCAATGAAACAGTAATGTGTTTCTTATCTAAATATCTGGCTTAAATCCTATTTGTTGACAGTCAGGTGAATAAGGAAATCAGATTTGAGAACTTAGCCAAGTTGGCGATCATGTATCAAGCCCTGTGTTTCAACAGGTGAAGCGAAAAGTGGGATCATATCTCCAGATCTTTGGTTACACACCACTGATCTTGCTGCTATTTTTGCATTATGCAAATCCTGAAACTCTTTTGTTTAAGAGGATAAAATCAAAAATAGCACCGTACTCTCTCTAGTCTTGGCTATTAGATAGTGGTCAGATAGTGAGTTTGTGTTTCCGTGTGTGAATGTGTGGCTTTTTGTTGCGTTAAAACACTTTCTTAATTTCATTTTTTTGCCACTGTGTGATTGTAGGAATAAGGTAAAAATGTTTGCATCATCAAAGAGTATTTCAGGACAGTACATGACATTCAGAAACATAGAAAATTTGTTGTTGAAGTTTCTTTTTTTTTTTCTCCACTTTTTAGTGCGGAATTCCACCAAAGTTAGGAAAAATAAATAGAATGGGAATCCATGGAAAGTCCCTGCAAATAAGTGATGAAGTTAAAGCCTTAAGGAGACAGAAATGTGTCTGAGTTTCAGTTGGAATATCTCTGTGTGTGCATATACAGTATATTTGTGTATGTGTATGTGTGTTTGCATGCATAAAGTCCAGGTGCAAACTCATGCTCTGTGCACTTTTGTGGCCTCAAGTGTGCATTGAGGTTTCTGTAAATAATAGTTGTGGAAGGCACTGTCTTTAGTGTTTTGCTTTCGGTCACAGCGCAGCAAAGTGAACGGATAAAAATCAAGCAGATTTATCACAATCAAGTATTTGCATTCAGGAAGAGAAAAAAGTCTGCATGCTTAGTTCTGTCAGGTGAGGTCATGGTCTGCGATGGTGGGGAGCAAGGAAAAAGTAAAAATAAAAAGATGGAAGACAAGAGGGAGGATTAAAGGCTGAGAAAGATGGGGTGAAAAACCACAACAGATGAAGAGATCAGAGGGTCGAGTGAATGACAAACCAGTGGTTGTGTGTGTGTGTGTGTGTGTGTGTGTGTGTGTGTGTG